AATTTCTGGGCATGCCTGGTTGCCATTTCTGGAAATGGTAGGAAAACACAGATCGCAACTGGTTGCGATCTGTGTTTGTCCAGTAAACCTTTGCTTAAAAGATTCCCTCATTCCCTGCTTCCCTCTTTCCTACCCCTTCGCTCCTTCCGTGTCCCAATCCATCCCCTCCCACCCCTCTCTCGATGTTTGAAAGGAAACTTTTGGAACCTCCTGACCCTTCAAACAACTCCTGGCGCGTGAGGGGCCAGGTGCTGACGACAAGCTCGAGGTTAAATAATGCTCGTGTTTGCAACTGGCCAAGATAAGAAGCTGGAAAGGTGAGGATTTGAACCAAATCCTCACCTTCCGTGAAAAAAATGACATGATATCAATTGCAAAGCACGGAAGGTGAGTCGTCAGCACCTGGAAAGGTGAGGATTTCGTCCAAATCCTCACCTTTGCCGGCCGGTAGGCAAGTCAGGTCCTCGGGCGGCTGGAAAGGTGAGGATTTCGTCCAAATCCTCATGTTTGCCGGCGGCTGGAAAGGTGAGGATTAGTTGGGCCCGTTGAGGGTGCTTCTGAGGACCTGCAGCCGTACCTGGCCAAAGACCTGCCAGCGCTGGAGCTGGAAAGACGTGCAGAAGCTGCTACAAGGTCTTGCCACACCAGCTTGCTTGAGGGTTGTGCTGTTGGCTTGGTTGGAAACGATGGTTTGTTGATCCATAAGCGTTGGCGAGTGGACAGCGACTACGTTCCTCGACTCAGCGAGTTGCGCTGCCCTAAGGACCACGAGCACTCGAGTTCTTTCGACCTCCAACAGACTCAGCGGTACCCAGAGCCTCTTTGCAGAGCGGTGATGAGCACCCTGAAGTGAGCCCAATACGCAGACACACAGCTTAGTTTCACCGTGCCGCCGCAGCCGGTTTCTTTGCTTAGACATAGTTTCCGGAAAAGCTTAGTTTTGCAGCCTTCGGACCAGGACCATGGATGATGGCCTGGGATCCCTCACTTTGCTGATGGGCGGGTCGGCAGTAGTCGCCAGCTTGGTGACTTGGTGCCTACTTCGTTGCTTGGTTGAGCCAGCTAGGCCCTCTTTGACGACGGCCAGACAACAACCAAGAGAGCCTGAGGAGAGCCACTCTGACCAAGAACTTGTTCGTTTTGAGTGTGACACCAACCGAAAGTACTTTGTTTCTTCTCCGGGAGACCAAACTCCAAGAGGGGGGAAAGTTTTCTACTATCCGTAGCCATTTTGGCTCAAGTTTATGCTCAAGGCGTTGCCTGCGTTGTGTAGAGAGCGGTAGCTGTGGATTCGGGGCTCTAACTGCGTGTTAACAGGCCCAAAACTGAAATCCCAGTTTTAGCTTCCGCCACGGCTTCGTCGGGGAGCAAAAACCCTGCGCCCGTGTCAGCTGATACCTCACTTCTAAAGTCTGAGGTTATTGCTCTTTTCAGTGAGCAATTGAGTGAGGAAGGCCACAATTGTTGGTCAAGGAAACAGCTGAGGGCCAGGCTCAGCAAGGAACGGCGGGACAACTCGGTCTCGAGAAGAGGTTTGGCAATCCTCAAAGACCATTTCAAAATAGGCTCTTGGAATATATCGAGCAAGATACGCGCTTCTGAATCTGGCCCCGCCTTAGGGCTGAGCGCTCCACACCTCGCCTTTAGGGCTGAGAGTGCCTGTGCCTAACGCAAAGCTTTTGCAACAATGGCGGGCAGGCCCTTCTTCACTTGCAAGGTGTGCGGCCCAGAAAGCTGGATTTTTTGCGATAGGATTCCAAAAAACCCAAGATGCAAGTGGTGCGGCACCTTGTGGCCTGCACCAAGGCAAGTGCAGGAGGTCTGGTCAGAATGGCCGGAAACTTGGAACGTGGCAGGGCATTGGGAGGAGGAAGACACGTGGTGGCCTGCAAAGAAGTGCAGAACGCGTGTGCGCTCAGGGCTGGGCAAGCTGCCACAGGCACTCGGTGCTGTCTGGGACACCTTGCCGGCCAAAGCTTGCGAGGCGCTCCAGCAGGCTGGGGCCACAGATTGATGAGGAAAGGGACCTTATAGCCCTTTTGCGCAGTCATGAGGACGCCTGCCGCAAGAAGTCAAGGATGCTCTTCCAGCGAAGCCTCCGCTGGACCCGGTTGAGCAAGGTAAGGAGGTCAGTGTCAAGTATAGGGATGCAGTTACTGAGCTCCGTGAACTCGGACGCAAGAAGCTGCGGCTCCAAGAAGACATTGACACGGCCAAGCAAAGCCTTTTGGTCATGCTCAAGAAAGTTTGGAGGAAGTTGACGACAGAACTTGAACCGTCGTCAAGAAGCCGAAGTCTTGCTATGGCACAGGCACTCGTAGGGTTTCCTGCGATGACAAAAGGTGCAAGCCTCATGGACTACATTCTGACATTTGAGAAACTTGTGTCAGAATACAAACGTGTAGCTCTGACAAAGTGCGATGAAAACCTGCAAATCGGAACGTTACTCAAAGGCATCCCGCAAGAGTTGAGAAGACACCTGTTGGTGGACATGACGGGAAGCGCGACCTACGCAGAAGTGAGGTCAAGATTACTCGAATATGAAAAACGCAGCCAAACGTGGTCGGCTGAGAATATCTTGAGTTCCCTCAGTGTAGCTAACCCAACGTCGCACCGCAACAATGAATACAAAGGACCCATTCCGATGGAAATTGATAGAGCAAAAGGAAAGAAAGGCGACAAAGGACGCAAAGGAGATGGAAAGTCTAAAGGCAAATATGGCAAAGGAAAAGGATATGGAGCTGGATATGGACGAGGCCGCGGAGGAAAGTCGAAAGGAAGAGGAAGATATGGCAAAGGGCGAGGACGCGGTGGAAAAGGTGGAAAGCACGGGAAGTCAGGAGGAAAACAATTGAGGCAAGTAGGCAAAGGCTACGGTGGAGGAAAAGGTAGCGACAAAGGAAAAGGAAAAGGATCAGGACCTACATGCTACAACTGCGGAAAGCAAGGACACATTGCCGCAGAATGTTATTCCAAGTCCTCAGGAAAGGGAGGATGCAGCAAGAGTGGAAAAGGAAAGGTAAGACAAGTTTACGGTGAAGAAGAATGGAATCAAAGCCAGCGGCAAGAACAAGGACAAGGCCAGTGGCAGAATTGGAACAATGTGCAAGCGAACAATCAAGAGACAAATCAAAAGCCGCAGCAGCAAGCTTCACAAGGAAATGTGAGAGTTGTTCAGCAAGCAACAGGAACGGAACGAGTTCGAAGGATTGAAGAGTCTACTGTGATGATCGAAGAAGTGGAAGATGAAGTGGTAGACCTTATCGATATGTTTAACGACATGGCAGCGAATTACAACGTAAGGATGGTGAAGAATAAGCCAGCTGCAAAGATAAAAGCTAAGGCAGAAGCAAAAGCACAGGTGAGAGATCAAGACGAAGAAGATCCAATTGGAGAAGACGAAAGTCCAACAAGTTCAGACGAAGATTTGTTCGATAAGACAAATGCCGAAGTGAAGAAAGATTTGCTCGAGTACGCATTAGTTCTTCTAAAGGACTATCTGAAGAACATGTGTGGAGATAAGCAAAAGCATCTGTACTATAGGAAGTTTCAGAACATGAAGCTCGAGTGGAGCAGCATTAAAGACGAAAACGATTTGACGCAGATGGTGCTAGATTATCTTGAGAAGGAGAGAGCACCACAAAGCAGGAAGATTTTCCTCACAAGGATGGAAGCCCATGCAAGAAACTTGGGACAGTTGCGACGGGCAGACCGTGGAAGTAAAGAAGACCGAGAACAAGGTAAAGGAGATGGAAAACCAGTGTATTGGTCTCATGAAAAGCAAGATTGGGTAGTCAAGTGCCCGATAGATTTACCAAGTCCCGGATTTACGGATTCGGAAGCTGAAGCGATAGACGAGGAAATGGAAGAAGAAGATGACGATAAAGATGAAGCTATCGAGATGCCACGAGGTTCGAAAGACCCAGACCCAAAACGAAGGATACGAAGGGTAGAGATGTTTGACATCGGCGATGAAGATGAAGAAGAAGAGACGATGGTGATTGATGATCTGATGGCATGCTATCTTGATGTCGAGATCGGAAGGATCAGAACTGTCTATCACGAATCATACGATGAGTGGAACATTATCCCTGTGGAAGTTGTGTTGGACTCAGGAGCTGGTTGCCACGTGTTACCTCTGTCGTATTACTCGGATGATTTAGGAACCAAGGAGTTACCTGAACTGAGGATGGTAATAAGCGATGCTCAAGGAAATCTGATTCGGGCAACAGAAACGAGAGCAAACATTACGTTCGAGTTCACTAAGGAAGGTGGAAAAGCAGTGAAAGTCAATGACAGTGCTGTGTTTGGTCAAGTGACCCAACCATTGTTCGCGGTTGGAAGTATGGAAGACCGGTTGGGGTATTTCACCATGCGATGCTCACACAGCATGGTTGTCCAAAGGCAACACAAGAATTCCAATCAGGTTTGTTCGGAACTCAACGGTATCTGATGTGAGAATCTATCGAATGGAAGCGAGAGAAGTTCGGGATGAACCAAGTTTCACCCCACAAGCGAAGGTCAGCAAGATAACGCTGCTGGAAAGTTTGAAGGAAGATGTCGAAGAGAATTTATGGAACGAAAATTGGTTTTACCTGAAGGATGGTAGACCAGCAAGGCTTGATTGGAGCCAAAGGCAAACGTACGATCCAAGAACGGAAGGAGTGACGACGTTTGATTATCGAACGACGATTGTCACTCAATGCGATGAAGTAAAGATTCTATGGGAGACAGCTGATATGTTCGAATTTGCTGAAGAATGGAGAACTCGAGAAGATGTGAAGTTTGATAGGATTCAAGATATGGTCTTGACGATTATGGAACGTCAACCAAGAGAACCAAGTTGGTATGGAACGTACGAGATGGAACAAGTGTCGCAACGAGAGAAAGAAGCAAGTTCATCAAGCACGGACGTTGCGATGGAACCACAAGAAAAGGACAAGCAAGTTGAGATGGAAAAGATGTTGCCCAAGATTGGCGACGACGAATTCGAAGAGAATATGATTATTGACGGAGTAGAACCTACTCCGGATAGCAGTTTGAAAGAGCTGAAGCAAGCGTGCAAGTTCCTTGGAGTAGGAGTAACAGGAAGCAAAGCGTTGTTATGGCAAAGGCTGAAGCGAGAGGCAGCCGAGACAAAGTTGAAGACAACGGTAGAAATATCGAAGTCGATTGAACGCGAATATGAACGCGAGCCGAAAGGACCAAAACCAGTGTACGAACCAACGCCGGAAGAACGCGCAAAGCACAACTTGACGCACAGGGAGTTGGGGCCAGACGAAGGTGGAGCACCAAGTCCGAAGCGTGGAGTAGAGACACTCGGAAGCGTGGAAGAGAGCGAAGGCACGAGACAACGAATGGACGAAGGAACAACGGAAGTGAAAGAAAGGCCGGAGAAGCAACACAAGGCAAGTCAAGTAAAGCAGAGAAACGAAGAAGTATGGTTAAATCAAAAGGAAGAGTATGTTGCAAGGATTCGAAAAGGTCGCAGAACTCCGAAGTGTAAAGGAAGTTGAGAAGTTCCTAAGAAAGGAAGAACCACGATACCACGCTGACGAAGATGTTGAGTTAGAAGAGTTTGATGAGCTCGAAGCTGAATTTGAGCTGGATGAGGTCGAAGATGGTGACTATTCGGGCGATGACGAAGGTGACGCAGGAGCTGTAAGTTTGCCAAGTTGGTCACGTGTGTTTGAAGATGGACCTCCAAAGTTAGAAGAAGATGTGATGATTGAAGTTGATCGCCAAGCACGAGAGACGGAGTTGACAAGACTTGAGAAGATGGGAGTGCTAAAGCAAATTGAGATAGTATGTGGAAAAGGAGAGGACGCTTAGTCGCACGAGAGTTTCGATGGTTGTCAAGCTACGACCTATCTTCATTGTTTTCACCCACCGGGGTGGCTTCGACAATCAAGTTGTTGTCAGCAATGTTCACGTCTACAAGTGGATATTGTTTAGGAAGTATTGACATCAGCGATGCCTATTTGCAAGTAGAGCAAGACGAACCCACAGTGGTGGAAGTTGATGGAAGGTATTATGAATTAGGGTATACCTTACCCGGACAACACATAGGATCAAGCGCATGGTTCAACAAGTTGAAGAAGATTGTGGAAAAGCTAGAGTTGAAGTCCGATGATGGACTACCAGCGCTGTTTTACAGGAAGCCTGAGAAAGGCAGGCCAGGAATAATTGTGTGGTCGCGCGTCGATGATCTTGAAGTGTTTACAACGAAGGAAGGTTTCCAAGAATTGGTCGACAAGATGAAAGGCGAAGGATTGAAGCTGAAGATTGAAGGACCGCTTGATGCAAGTGGAGGATCGATTGGATTCCTTAAGAGAACGTTTACGGCAACCGGAGATGGTGGAGTTGAGATTTCTATGAACGTAAAATACATCGAAAGCCTAGTTGAAGTACTAGAGCTGGAAGGAAGTTATCCGAAGAAACTTCCGTGCCCTGCAGATGGCGGAAGAACATTTCAGATGAAAGAAGGTGGAGATCGAGAACTCACGCCTGAAGAACACCATGTGTTTCGGAAAGCAGTAGGTATCCTACTGTACCTCGCTCCAGAACGACCAGATTTGATGTTTACTCTGAAAAAGTTGTCAACAAAGTTGGCAAGACCAACGCAGGGTGATATGGAGTTGTTACGGTGCGTGGGAAAATACCTGAAAGGATGTCCCGACATTGTGTTGAAGCACAATAAAAGTTTTCCAGGCAAGTCGTTCAAAGAAGAGAAAAGCCGATGGCAAGATGAACCGAAGAGTCGGAATGTGTTCGAAGAGATCGTTGATCGAAGTGTGCGCGGACAGCGATTGGGCCGCAGATCGCGAGTCAAGACAAAGTGTGTCATGTGGAACGATTTTCCTCAGCGGAAACATGATCCATTTTCAGTCGAAAAGACAACGTTCGATCACATTGTCCTCACGCGAGGCAGAGACAATAGCAAGTACTTCGATTCTTTCGGACAGGAATACGGCCGGAGTTAATCTTGTACTCTGATAGCTCAAGTTCACGTCAATTGATATCCCGCAAAGGTCTCGGGAAAGCACGTCATATCAATGTGAATCTGCTATGGATCCAACACCTATGCGATTTGAAAGTGAAAGCAATCAAAGGTGTGGATAACCCTGCAGACTTAGGGACGAAAGCCCTATCCAAGGACAAGATACGCAAGTATATGGTAATGGTGAGTTACCAAGGTGAGTATCTAGATGAACACCAAGAAGCAAGTGAAAAGACGGTATCTAGATCACGTGTTGATGTGTTGACGGTAGCGCCGTTAGTTGCAGCATTGACGTCACACGGAATAACGATCGTTGAAGCACGAAAGGAAGATCAAGAAGTGGCGAACGAAAGGAAACAAGGACTGACGGTGAGCATGGTTGCAATGGTTATGCTGATGTTGTTAGTGTTGAGCATTTGTCTTGCAAAACTAATTGCCGCAGCCATTTCTGTTCAAGTGAAGAAGAAAGAAGAAGTGAAGAAAAGGAAGAACGGAATGGCTGAAGAAAAGAAGGTTGAAGAAGTGTCGAAGGATGTAAAGGAAGCAATCAAAGATGCGGAGGAGGAACAGCAAGCACCTCCTGAAGTCGTTGATTACAACAAGGATGAACGGCCAACAGAGCCGGAAGTCCAACGCCAGTTGGAACGATATAAGGCAAGCCTTCGAGCGATGAAGGAAAAAGCTGAAGTTGAAAGGAAAGACTCTCTGGAGAAAGCAGTTGAAGAGAGCAAAATGAGCGAAGAAGATAAAAAGAAAGCGCTGCGAGAAGTTTTCGACAAAGTCGCAGCGATGATGGAAGAGAGTGAAAAAGAAACGAAAGAAGTCGCTCCAAAGTCAAAAGAAGAAGCGACGGAAGGAACAAATTCAAGTTCCTCAAGTTCGAGCAGCTCAAGCTCGGATGAAGAAGCAGTGGCCGAGGCAGACATGAAAGGCCAAGAAGAACCAACAGAAGTGACCGAAGGGGACGTGAAAGGCCCAGAAGAACCAGCAGAAGCGACCGAAGGAGACGTGAAAGGCCAAGAACGGGTAGCTCTTGCAGAGCAAGTAACGCCAGCAGAGATACCGGACCATTTCTTGTTCGTGATGGCCGCTGAAGGAGAAGAAGTTAACGTTACGTATCTCCAAGGCAACCTCCAAGAGAAGGCAAAGCGCATTTTGCTTCAGTTGAGGCAAACCCAAGAAAATCCGGAAGATCCGGATTCGCTGCCGCCGTATGAACAGACGCTCCTGGAAGACATCCAGGATGGGTACGACCTCAGCCGCAAGGCGAAAAAGGTTCTTGAGAAGGCGAAGGAGCATTTTGCTATGCGAACCCAAGAACTTGAAAGTTCGATAGAAAGTGCACGCCAGCAGATAGCCGAAGCAACGGCCATGTTGGAAGATTTGGCGCGAGATCGCCAAGCGACGGGCGATAAAGCACGGCTTTGGAGCTTTGCTTGAAGAGCCATGGAGATTATGAGAAGCTCTCCATTGCGCTCGTAAGAAGCTTCAAGACCCTCATGGGACGTTTCAAAGGACTCGACTACTTGGACCCGAATTTTACGGAACGTGATTGCTCAGCAGAGAAGGGCCAGATGCTGTCAAGCTTAGCATCACAAGCGGTGAAGGAGTATGAATCTGCAAGCGTCGCGGATGCAGGTTCGGAGAACCGTAGGCGCAGACGAACGAAGACGCAAGAGGAGGAAAAAGAACGTCAGAAGCAAAGGCGAAAAGAAGAAAGTGAGAAGACGTTGAAGAAGGAGGAAGAAGTTCCCAAGAAGCGCAAGACGCATGAAGAACTGAAGAAGGGTATCTTCATGGAAGTTGACGAAGACGAGCAAAGGAAAGTTTCAAGGACGGATCCTCCAAGCAAGGAAGTGACGAGAGGTATGTTGCCTCCCAAGCCAAAGACAATGCCGTCGAATATTGCGAAGCAGAAAGAAGTTGAGAAAGCCACGGCAAGCACGAGTGGCAAGGAAGCGGAAAAGGAGTCGGAAAAGGAAAAGCCTGAAAAGAGCAAGAAAGATACAAGCAAGTACGAGCAAGAGATGATCAAATGGGCAGAGAGCAAACCGAAGTTCGGTTACACGAAGATTAGATTCGAAGAGGATGCAGAAGGAAGCCGAAGAGAAGAAGGCAAAGGGAGATGAAGAGAAGAAAGAAAAGGAGGACGAAGAGAAGAAAGCAACGGAAGATGAAGAGAAGCAAGCGAAGGAAGCCGAAGAGAAGCGAGCGAAGGAAGAAGAGGAAAAGAAAGAAAAGGAAGCTGCAGAGGGTGCAGCAAAAGGTGCGAGCGTGGCAGCAGCAGTTGCAGGAACTGCATTGGACGCAGCGGGCGTCACGCCAGATGAGACGCCTGGCGATGAGATGGTCACGAGTCCCATTAGTGAGCCATCAAAGCTGCCAAAGAAGAAAAAGAAAGAGAAGAAGGAAAAGAAGAAGGAAAAGAAGGGAGAAAAGACAAAGGAGGAAAAGCATGAAAAGAAAAAGCGCAAAGCAGCCGAAAGCTCAAAAGCTTTGGATGGCTGAAAATGAGAAGGAGAAGAAATGCCAAAGACTCTGAAAGGAGCGTTTAAAGGCGAAAGGAAAAGGAGGAGAAAGAAAACAAAGTTACACCGTCAAGGGCAGGTGTCTAAACAACGCCCAGGCGGTGGTCAAAACAAAGCGAAAAAGGTAAAAGAAGAAAAAGCCCAGGGACAACGTGTACTGAGGCTTTCAAGCCGAAGGAAAGTGAGTGAGCGGCTTAAGTTTCACAAGCATGAAAAGTTTCACCACGAAATTTCTTTTGGGCGAAAGCCACACGTCACGACACCGCCTAGCTTGAAGCATCTAGATTCAAGTCTAGAATCTAGGAACGGTATGTTATTTTAGGTAATGCAGTATTTCAATATTCCGAAAAGCTCAATCTTCGCAAGACAGCACGCCTGATGACAGCTGCCAGGCAGGAAAGGAGTTGTTGAGAGTTGTTGCACGCTACAGTTAGTGCAAGCTAGAGTTGCATGTTTATCTGAATTCTGTCAGGACACGAAGAAGTGAAGATGGAACGCCACGTCACGTGAAGCCATGGTAAACGGTAATCTCTAAACAAGTCTTATTATTAGTCTTCTAGTTGGTAGATGGTATGTCGGTATGTTTGGTAATCCGAGTCAAGTGGAACACCCACTTACTTTGGAGCGGGCGTGACAAACATTTCATTTTCACAACACACTAATTTTCCTTACCTGAACATGTTTCACTGTGCACTCCGTAGGCTCAAGGTACGGCTCAAGACAACCTGCAACCCAAGAGGAAAAAGTCACGTGCCTCTGGGAAGTCAAAGTTGTCAGCGGGAGATAGTTGGGTACGGTTTTAAGTTTTCAGCAAAGGGGCATCCCAAACCAAAGCGACATCCAGATCCATCCGACCATTTCCAACAAGGCCTTGCACCAGCCTTTGACTTGCTCTTGCTCTTGCCTTTTTTTGGAGAACTCAAGGTCATTGATTGGCCTCTTCAAAAAGCCGCCACCTTCGGGATGGCTGCGGGAGGCAACGCAAGCACTGCCGCCTCGAGCTCCCCCAAGATCATTTGCGCAAAGTCCAGGACGCCAGACTCCGTCGGCTTGTAGTCTAACTGACGCTCCAACTTAAACGGTCCAGCCCCCGAACAAGTAGCTGAGGATCTGGAAGAACCACATGAAGCTCTTTCCCTCTGCGAAACAGCCTCACCCATTTCCTCGCCAACGTCACCCCTGAATCCAAGGAGCCAGCGACTTCCGGCGAGGTCAAGAACTGTTGAAGACGGTGCTTCTCACCAGTGCCGCCAGGTTGATAACAGCGCAGAGTGATGAACAGAATTCCTCGGACCGATGTAGCC